GGGGGGGGGGGGGGACAATCATCATTACACGATGCTCAACAAGAATGGAAAGGAGAATGAAAATCTTGTAAATAAGGAAACAAGTAAATTTCGGAAAAGCATCCAGAAAGTTAAATTTTTATATTCAAATTATACAGATATAATGCCATTAGTACTGAACATTTGGGGGCGAGAGGCCCCTTTGAAGGTGTCTGAGAGACACGGAGAAAAAGGAATATCAAAATGTGAGTAGACAGGAATGCAGCCCATCAGAAACAAATCAGATAGCAGTGCAAAAGCGGAATAAATAACAAAGTTGACACTTACGGAATGAAAACAATCAGTTCAGGATCACCTTCATTGCTTTCCAAGTGGCCCTGTATCAAAGAATAAGTCAAAGTATAAATACATCCAACGAGAAAGAAAAACGGATCAAATTTCGTGAAATGATGAGGTAAGTTCATCTGTATACAACTACTTATAAAAAAGAAGTTCATATCTTTATAGAAAAAAGTTAGCACCCGGTTGTCTTTCCTTAAACATTTGAAGAAAGACAACTGCTAATATCAGAAGTAATATCACAACCCAATGGGTATTCCTGAGTAATCTCTTTTTACCAAGTTGAATGTTAGCAAAATAGTCAATGGTATCACTTTTGATGCAACAGCAAGACAGTTACTTGTAACAAGTGGGTGTGTTAGCCGGTTAATTGGTCACATTTTATTCCTGAAAGGCTAAAATTGGTATTAGTCCGGATACAGCACATCATTCTTTTACATCTAATAATTATACTTTATCAACTCAATGAAAAACTTTAAAGTGCCCTTGCTCCAAAGAAAAACTAACAAAGAACCCTAGAAATCAGCAAAACTCTGTTCATCACAAAGCTATTAAGGTTACTTGCGAAGAGAAAAACTTTGCTACCATTTAGTTAAAGTGTCTCACAAGTACTTGAAGGAATCAATCTAAAAATCTGCTTTTGGATATTGGAGGGAGTTACATAATAGGAGTTCTCTTTTTGGGGAAGAAGAATGTTGGATAACTTAAAAGTTACAATCATCAGCTTTAATGCATATGACATTATACAACTTTTATTTATTTGCAGACAACTTGTCTTCCTTTCCTGGTAGACTTCTCCATCTTGTTGATATAACTTTATATTCTTACCAGGGTTTTATATAGAACTAAAACAAAGTAGAGTCCTTGAGTATGCAAAAAATATAATCAATCGGGATGACAATATAGATTGTATGTGAGACTATGATGCTTTTAATTACACTAACATTTGTTATTAATGTCAGAATTAATAAGGTGAAGAAAGATTTTCCATGTCAACCAAACACCAGCATCTAGCAGCAGTGCAGCACTTTACACCATAATTTTCCAAAAAATAATACTTCGTTATTTTGTTCCTTTTTTTTTCCTATGCCAAAGTAGGTTTAAGAGATATATTCAATTCCAAGAAGCACCAAGCATAACATCATGTGTGTGCTTTTGAACAAGATGACTAAGATAAGAAGACTATTGAACCTATTGAATCTTGGACAAACTGAGTAATCACCACAGACTACATAATATCATAGAGAGAAAAGGTCAAGGGATTATTTGGTCTAGATCAAGCCATTTTTGGTCTGAGATTACCTCCGAAGTATTCAAACGCTGCTCCCATGGTTTAAAAACGGATTTGACACTTCCTCTGATAGCCTCGTTCAAAGCAGACACCTTTTGGTAGCACAAAAACTAAAGTATAAGGAATTTGAAGAAGCTAATAAATATATGCATAAGTTAATCTGAGCATGTGCAATCCTAGGATCACAATTCTGAAGTTTATATACATCTCTAACATGGGAACCACAAATCAAAAAGCCCCTGGCATTCTGATTTAAGATATGCTATTGCAAAATCAATACTAACTTCTCTCACAACTTCTGCTGTCCTTAGAATTTAGCTCGATGAGTTACATATTTAGAATATGGATGATCAATTTGCCTAGCCAACAAAAGAAAATACAGTCAACAGCATATCAAATTTCTTATTGGAGCTTTAGAGACGCTATCTCTAGAACCATTCAGACTCATTACAGCGAAAATTCGCAACTACACTAAGTTTTCTAACTCCACTCGCACTGTCTTCTCAATTTTATCTAGATATAAAGGTTATCACAACAAAAGTCAGCACCTCTAACTCGAAATGGAGCAGCCCTTACTATAGAACTAACTGACAGTTAAAAGTTCCAACTTTAGATCAACATAGAAATATTTAAAAAAGGGTTCTTCATTCCAGTTACTAATACTCAAAACCGCCCACCCCAGGGCCCCACACCATTTCCAACCTGGTAACAACCTAAAGCACAGCTGATACTATAATCAAGAAACTCAAAACACTAGCAGTTTTAATTTGTTGTATAAAATAATAAAATTGCAGTTCAATCAAGAATCAACAAAACAGTCGACCCCAAGTTGCCAAAATAGTTCGCATAAGTGGGTTTATCCAGTAATTGATAAATGATATCAATCCATCAGGAATCTTTATCACTGAAGCCTAATAAACAAGAACACACACACACACACACTAAAAGAACAGAGAGAAGAGAACCTTAGAAAGGTCGATATGCTTGAAGAGAGACCAATCGGAGGAACAGTTATGGTCGGCGCAATCGTGATCGTGCAGGCAAGCCATCCTTTGAGCGCTATGTATTTCTTTGTGCTTCTCTATTTATTCCCAACTAAAGCTGAGGAATATAAGTTGCCCGGGAGAGCTTCCTTGCTTTTTGTTTCTTTTTCTTTTTCCTTTTTTGTTTGAGTTCGACATCTTAGGAAAATAGTTTTTGGCCAAAAAAGTCCCTCAAGTATACTCATAACTTAAGTTTCATAGTTAAAGTACTTTGGTGAACAAATATCATCTTGTAGTTTCTCAAAGTGAACAACTTTCATCCAAAACTAACATAACTCGAAGATCATCACGTGTTTCTCACTTGAATTCCTAAGTTATATGTCAAAACATTCTGCTTCATTGTCCAACTTGGAGGGTGTTTGACTAAACTTATAAGCTTTTGGCTTATCTACACATTTGGTAAATTAAAAGTGTTTATAAGTAAGTTCTTATAAGTCAAAAATAAACCATAAGTTGATCTCCCCCAACTTATCAAATTTCAGCTTATAAGCACTTTAGGTTTGACCAAAATATTTACTATTCTATCTCTAAAATACTTCTTTTTAAAACAAAACTACTCGTATAGTTTCACTCTCTCTCAGTTCTTCAAACCTAAACAGCCCGTGCCTCTGCAATTCTCCAGCCCGTTTCTGTCGGCAATTTGAGGTAATGAGATTCACTTGTCTTCGTATTGTTATACATATGTGACTTGTACCGTTAGCCTCAAGTAAGATTCCTACTCTTTTAGTTGTATATTTTTACGTGGATTTGGTGCAGTAAATAGTAGTATAAAAAACAAAAGAGTGCTGTACAAGATTAATTTGAATGTTTTCTCTTATTTATTTTTATTTTTTGGGGTACAATTTGAATGCTTTCTTGTGTACTTCTCTCGTTGTAAGTCATCACTATTAGGGGTGTTCAAAACCGAATCACATTGACTACAATGACGATTCATAATTATATTAGAAAGAAATGTAAGGTGGACAATGCATTCCAAGAAGCTGAGAATGAGAGATATGTGCCACGTGTTGATCTTGATGTTAGAAGATCCGCAAGAGTCAACGTTGCAAATGAAGAAAATGTAAAAAATCAAGGAGATAATAATATTTAGATGGCAATTCGTGATCTGATTGCTCAAGCTATTTATGATAGTTGAGTGTTTTAATATTATTTACTATAAATAATACATATTAAGTGTTTGCTTCTTCTCTGCAAATATTGTGTGCTTTATTTAAGGTTTTTTCTTAACTTTTGTTAATTTATACTCCATCCATTCTAATTTATGATTGTATACTTATCATAACATAAATTATATTTATATAAAAAAAAGATATTATCTAATCATTTTTATAATTACAATAACATGATAATAGGTTACTTTTGTATTTGAATCTATGTAGAATCTAAAATTTTGAAGAAAATGGCGTTTTTAGTAGTGTAAATTGTTATAAGGTCATTTAAGTCATTTTAACATAAAAATAGTTTATCAGCACTTTTTAATCAAACAATTTCAGTTGCTTATTATTAATTTCAGCATTTTTATCCAAATACGTAACTGCTTATTTATGAATTCAGCTCAAGCACTTAAAAGTGCTTTTCAATACCTAATGCTTATCGACTGCTCAAAATCAGCTAAGCCAAACAGGCTCTTGTTCCTTGCCCATCCTCACTCTGAAAATGATGTAATGAGATGAATCCTTAATGCTTCTCACAAGAAAAAAATTATTAAATTAGTTTTAACACTGAGTACTTAATTATTTACAATCATCAAATTCGCACGAGTTCTTCACACTACATAAGAAAACCACCCGTTTAGATGATCTCTTTCAGATAGGGATGTGCATCAATCGGATCGGATTTAGCACATTTCGGATTATAAATGTGGATTTGAATTTTATAAGATGCAATCCAAATTAAATTGGATCGGATCGGATTTTAAAGTTTGGATTGGGCTAATATTTCAGATTTTTGGATCGAATTGTAAGGGCTACTAACAATCTAATCGGCTACTGCACTTTCTAAGTTATTCACCATTCAATTAAATTGAAAGGCAACAAATGTTTTTCATAGCAATAGACAAAACAAAAGTTTCATAGCTAAACAAAATAAACTGAAATTCCAAACATATATCTAATAAGGGAGAGGCATCTTTGTCCGTCGATAAGAAGGAGAGACTGATAATGAGAGACAGAGTAAGACTTAAGAGAAGCAAAAAAGGAAATCTGAAGAGAGGTTAGAGAGAAAGACTTTAATATAAACTAAGAAAATAAGAGTCTAAAGAGAGGCGGATGAAATAAAAAGATTTTGCCCTAAAATGTAAGTCTCATATTTATACATGTCCATATAATTCGGATTTCGGGTCGGATTAGATTAATATTTTACCAATCTGAATCTGATTCGAATATACAAACTTTTAAAAAACCTAACCCATATCCAATCTGTCACGACCCAATCTCTCCCTCCGTGAGTTGTCGTGACGGCACCTAGTCTCTACGACTAGGTAAGCCTAACACTTTGCGGAAATAAAATAAAAGCATGAACATTAACTACTAACAGTAACAAATATCTAATAAGAAACTGAATGCCACTCGACATATACAATTATCACCTCTGAAATGTACCAAACAATTTCCAAAATCCGAAATACCGTAAGTCACAAGCTACTAAGAAGTCTTAACTGTTCTATACATCATTTCTACAGAAAGAAGGAAAAGTGAACATGTGGGATAGAGGGTGATAGGACCAAACCTATTGTTGTATGTAAAAATAGACAAAACAAAAGAAAGAAAAATCAAAAAGAGATGAAAATATGATGTAAGCGCTTACATTGACATTCTTGTGATGTAAGCGCTTACCTCGACATTCTTATAATGTAAGCGCTTACATCGGCATTCTTATGATGTAAGCTCTTACCTCGGCAGGGCATTCAAATGCCTATAAATAGGGGTCTACATATTCATTTGTAGATCATCCCAAGACTTCTTCTTTCTCTTTTTAATTAATAAAGAGCTATTCTTTGTGTGGCCGTGGAGTAGGCAAAAATTGCTGAACCACGTAAATCTTGTCTTGTCTTGTCTTGTACAATTTATTGCTTCTCTCTTAAATATCCTTTTCTTTCTATTATCTTGACACACTTCCCAATAATTGGTATCAGAGCACATACAATGTAATTCTGGTAGAAAAGTATAGTACTGGTATAGGTACTATTCACAAGAATAGTGCGACACTATTGATCATCGTACTATTCATAGGCACTATTCACATAAATTTTTTGTGAAAAATGGCATCGGAAGAAGGGAATGTTAAGATTGACAAGTTCAATGGAAAAGATTTTGGATTCTAGAAAATGCAAATAGAGGATTATTTGTACCAAAAAAAATTACACTTACCTCTGACCGAGGTGAAACCGGAGACTATGTCCAAAGCAGATTGGGATCTATTAGATCGCCAAGCTCTTGGTGTGATTTGTTTGAAGCTAACACGAAATGTGGCATTTAACATCATTGACGAGAAGACCACTGCATGCCTGATGAAGGCGTTATCAAATATGTACGAGAAGTCATCTGCTTCAAATAAAGTCTATTTGATGCGTCGATTGTTCAACTTAAAGATGACAGAAGGTGGATCAGTCACGGAACATATCAACGAGTTTAATATATTATTAACTCAGTTGAGTTATGTTAATATAACAATTGATGACGAAATCAGAGCATTGATTCTACTATCATCTCTACCGGAGAGTTGGTCTGCAACAGTAACTGTAGTTAGCAGTTCATCAGAAAGTACCAAACTCAAACTGAATGATATTAGAGACTTAGTTCTAAGCGAAGATATTCGCTGAAGAGAATCAAGTGATTCCCCAGGATCTGCTTTTAGTACAGAAAGCAGGGGGAGAATCAACCAAAGAGGACAGAGTTATGGTCGTGGCAGATCAAAGTCAAGGAGAAGATGACAATCCAAAAATTGCAAGGACATTACTTGTTGGAATTGCAATAAAAAGGGTCACTACAGTAGCCAGTGTAGAGAACCAAAGAAGAAGAAGGAAGAAAATTTAGCAAATGTAATTGCTAAACAAGTCGGTGATGCACTAATTTATTGCGCAGACAGTCCAGTCAAATCTTGGATTCTGGACTCAGGTGCATCCTTTCACTCTACATCATGCAAAGAATTATTGCATAATTATATTGCTGGAAAATTTGGGAAAGTTTATCTAGCAGACGGTGAACCTCTCGACATTGCCGGAAAATGTGAAGTTCATATAAAGACTTCACAAGGCACGCTATGAAAATTGCAAAATGTACGACATGTTCCTGGCCTCAAGAAAAATCTGATATCTGTGGGTCAGATTGACGGTGAAGGATATACAACAACATTCGGTAACGGATCGTAGAAGATAACCAAAGGGAATTTGGTTGTGGCACGAGGCTTCAGAAGGGGAATACTATATGCAACTGCAATATAAAGAGATACTATAGCAACAATTGATCATGGTCGTGATACAACATTGTGGCACCGGAGGCTCGGGCATATGAGTGAGAAGGGAATGAAGCTTTTGGAATCCAAAGAAAAGTTGCCAAACCTAAAACATGTTGAATTAGGTTTGTGCGAAGATTGCATTTATGGGAAACAAAAGAGAGTTAGTTTCTCAAAGGTGGGAAGGACGCCAAAGAAAGAGAAGCTGGAACTAGTGCATACAGATGTGTGGGGACCAGCTCTTGTAACTTCTCTAGGAGACTCACGCTATTATGTCACCTTCATTGATGATTCCATAAGAAAGGTATGGGTTTATTTTCTGAAAAATAAATCTGATGTGTTTGTTACCTTTAAAAGATAGAAAGCTGAAGTTGAAAATCAGACAAGTCTAAAGTTAAAATGTCTGAAATTTGATAATGGAGGAGAGTATGATAGCCAAGAGTTCAAAGCATTTTGCTCGGAGAATGGGATCAGAATGATCAAGACAGTTCCTGGAACACCAGAACAAAATGGCGTTGCTAAGAGGATGAACAGAACCCTGAATGAACGAGCCAGAAGTATGAGAATACATACTGGATTGCTGAAGTGTTTTTGGGCTGAGGCTGTTAACACGGCAGC